GATGGCTACTTCGGTGCACTCACTTCACCTCTAAAAGTGATCATAATACATCAAATTTTGAAATTTAATGGGTAGCATTAGTCTCATATGATATAACACAGAATCACAACTAATCAACCCACTACCCTAACCTATTAACATTCAATTTTGAATCTAAACCCAAAATCCCAAATTGTAAACCCTAACCCTAAATTCCTAAACCCTGAATCATTCAAATTAAAGTGAATCTTGAATGATTTTTGTTAAATTCATGTGGTTCTTATTCATCATACTACAAGGGATGATTGACATCGTTTTCACATGAATCGTCTGCTCAGAATGACGATTATGAGGCGGGTGCATTGAATGCACCCAAAAAACTTAGTGCACCAAAGACAGAACCATATATATATATATATATATATATATATATATATATATATATATATTCCAGTCTGTATGCTTTAGTTAATACAGTGGCGTTCGGTAAGTTTCTGTTTTGGTCCTTAATTAATAGTTTGTTACATTTGAGTAATGTGTGAATGTGTGATAGGTTTGATCTGTTGAGAGCTTTAAACTCGTTAGATAGTTATGGGAGCTGGAAAACAGAGTTGTTGACAGTAGCCTAAGTTTTGTGGCTCACATCAATATATCAATGTTTGTTTCTTTGCATCATAAGATTGCTTTGTAGAGTGTTCTACATTTGATATCAGAGCACTTTAATTTGCAAGTTGTAGCCATTGTTGATTTAAGAAACTTTTAAGCTTATTACATTAGTGATTAAGAACAAAATTGTGTGTTCTGCAAGATATAGATTTGGAAAACACGAGGGTATTGTGGTGAGGCAATTACTTCAAGGGCGAGAGAGGACATAGTGTCCGTGAGTTGATTGTGCTTTGAAATCATGGGGGACAATGCTAGTTTTCCCAGGCTGGTCTACCTAATTTGATGGATACTAGGATCACTGAAGTCTGTGGATGGAAAATCTCCTTAAATTCAAGGAGTACTTGAGTGCCGTTAGTGAAGGCATTCATGAATCTGCTGTTGGAGTCCAGTTATCTGCTACTTAGGCCAAAGGTCTAAATTATTTACAGATCTTAAGGCTAAAAATTACATGTTTAGCTCCATTGGCAAAACAATTCTAAAGAATATCACCAGCAAGGACACTACAAAATAACACTACGGGATTAGGGGTAAACAAAACAAATCGAAAACCGACCCACCCATAAAACGCAAACTGACCCACCGCGATATTGGTGAATATCTAATTTTAAGGGTGAGTGCAGTTTTAAATTTTTTAAAACTTTAGCCTTATGCTTGGGTTTGTGTTTGGATGGTTACAACCAGACATTATCCAAACAGACCAGTGATACTATATTATATATTTAATATAAATTATTAAATTCCTCCACCATAAATTTCTAACTTTAATTATTATTCACGTCGTTTGTTGATATAGTTAGTGTTGATTTAGAGGTAGAGGTGGAAGAGGAGCAGGAAGGAGTGACTATCAATGCAGAGGTAGAGGAAGAAGAGGCTGGAATAAGAAGAATATTGATTGCTTCAACCTTCACAAGTTAGGTCATTTTCGTAGCAAATGTCTAATTCAACTCGAGGCCCAATAAGAGAGTTACTTGCTGATCACTTGGACACAAAAATGGACACAAGATTATTCACCAACGTTTGCTTACCGCACCTCAAAACTAGGGTGGTTATACGGTCCGGTCCGATTAAATTGGCCCAAATTGATCCGGTTCAGTCCTGTTTTTTCGACAATATAAGAACCAAAGATTGGATTTGGATACAGTTCGGTTTTGATTCGGTTCGGTCCCAATTCGGTCTTGATTTTATATTGAGCTTGTGGGGATTTGAGTGGCCTAAGGCCTGAAAGGGTGAGGAGATGGTTAAGTTTTGTACTAAGTGCAAAGGTTTTTGAACGTTTATGCTAATTACCCTTAAGTTTTGGGTGTTGAGCTCTCTTATTCGGTCTTTATCCAGTTTTTTATCCAGTCCCGAACGGTTTTTTACCTCAAATCTAAGCCCAAAGATTGGATTGGATTGTTTACTATCCGGTCCCGGTCCGGATTATACCGTCCGGTTTCGGGTAAAACCAAAAACCCGGACCAAATAGTCAGCCCTACCCAAAACGGTGCATTTCCCTACCTTACCCTATCCTTTTTCTTCCTTCTTGCTCGATCAAAATTCCCTTGCAACTTAACTCAACACCCAGAAACAAGAACAAAGGAAAGCAATTTCGGAAAAAACAAACTAAATGCAGATAATGAAACAACACACTGGATTTTTATGTGGTTTCAACCGTTGGAGGAATCAGGATTCTAACATTGACTAGTCCACGGCAAGATCCACGCTATCAGCGCTTCTTCGAAGATTCATTAAAGATTTTTTATGAAGCACTTCGAAGTTACAAAGAATCTCTCAAACCGGAACGATCAGCTCCCCGCTTGATCGAATCCTTCTGTATCACACTCTCTCAACTATCCAGTTAACAGAGGAACCCTGATACTACTCAGTATCATAATACCCGAAAGTCTCATCGATCTTGTGACTGACTTTTCTCTCTAACAAAATTACTTGCACACTCAATATTGCCCCTTGATCTTGCTCGTTCTGAAAAGTCTACCTCTTCCTCTTCCTCTTCCTCTTGGCTCCAGTAATATTGAACTTTTGTAGATAGCCGTTTGATTTGAACGTTGGACTTTCCTTCTTAGTTTTCTCTTTGAATTTGCCACCTACCAACTTTGTGACAAGTCGATTGATTCTGAAGATTTGATTCCAGCTGGGGCTGCCTGCCGTGAGGATATTGCGACGTTAACCTCAACATTTTCCACCTCAGCTTAGCAATGTCCTTTCCTGTTGTTGATTAACAGAAACACTCCAAACGCATGTTATATAGACAGAGACATAATCGACTGCTAACTAATCAGGTCACGCATCAATTAAAGACTGGAATCATAAAAACCATTGTAATTAGAATCTATATTTAGATATATTAATTAATACTGATGGGGTGGATTATAATTCAAATAATAACCCCTACATTATTAATTGCCTCTGCATAATTTCAACATGAAGTAGGTGGCAAATAAACGTCAAACTCAATGAACGTTAATAAACAAAACTAGTTTTTACCTGTTCGTTGGGCGTTGCATTATATTTGATTATTTTATAATTCGTTCTAATATTCTAAATATTATTATTTATGTTTGTTGATCTAATATATATATATAATTGTACATCTCACTTATCTTATTTTAGGTAATATTTTGTACTTTTATACTTTTTTATTTATGAAAAATTTAATTGTATTAACTGAGCTCTTTGTAGACCGTTCTTTATTGATTTAGAATTTTGTATTGATCTAAAAAAAGTTATAAAGAAGTTAAAAATTTTAAGGCCACAAACAAAGAAGTTAGAATAAGAAAATATGCTTCCATTAATAAAAAGAATAAAGCGAAGAGCTTTTCATTTTCTTTCCCTTCTCATATGTCGGTATATGATAATAAAGAATATTCCGATCTAGATCCCACCAATATCGTGTATTATAAGTTACACCTGCAATTCTGGAATAATGATGAAACAAAATTAGCATCCACATCCATCAATCTTCCGCATACTCAATTAATTTAACTTGGCAATGTTCTAGCAAATCCAACCACAAATAGAACTATCAGTTGTCACTAATTTATTAAAGCAATATTTTCAGCAAACTAAACTGCATATAAACATAATTTATATTTTATAGAGAGCTTCATGTCTCCTAAAGGAAAAAATGGTATTTTTTTACCAATAACAACATAGACAAATAATGAAATGAACATACTTCAATACAACTCAACTCATTCTATCTTGCAGATTTCTAATTTGTGAACTGAATCGATGCACCAATCCAAATAGTAGTTGGTAAGAAAACAATCATGTCAAAATCAAGCTTTAGTTAGGGATTCAATGAGGAAAAATCCACCCTAATGAAACAAACAAATGTCATAGCAAACGTGTAGAAATAGAAAAACATCGAAATACTCAACCGAGGAACCACCACCATCATTTTCTTTCTTCTTCGCGACTTTTATAAAACCCCAATTATGTTCCCTTCTACTAATAATCCCTTTGCTACGTACTCATTACTAACCAGATCATCATCTTATAGCTAGCTGGTAGCATGTCAATCATGAACATAAGGAATATAATGAACAACCCTCACAACTCTACTTTCCATTTCAACATCTAAGGAATCAGGTTGCAATAGGCATTTAAGGAAAACGATCAATTATTCAACCAAAGGAGATATGCCCTAAGTCCAAATAATTATCCCTTCTAATTATATATTACCTATTTACATAAAAGTATATTACGTAATAGAGAACGTAAAACAACACAACTCCGTGAAAACAAAGAAGAAATACATTTGCTCATCGAGTGGGAAAATTTACCATCCAACAGTTTTAATTTGGAAGAAATTAAGAAAATATTGGAAGAAGGGTGAGCAGTTGCTAGCTTCAGATCAAGGAGGAAGAGGGATCATTCAACAATCCTCGGTTTGGTTCACCTCGTCTTCGCAATGATAGGATGAACTGCTTTCATTAACTGGCAAAAATATGTTACAACTGCTCAAAATTTTGCCATCTAATCGTTGCCTCGTGTACCTCCCTCCTCCTATTCTCCTAAAAAAAAATTCATATGCATTACCATTTCCTTCTCTATCTAAATTCTGATTTTCAATGTTGGATTTTATTTCTAGAGATACAATCAAAACTGGAAAAAGGGTAGAGATATATTAAAAGGTTGCATTCATAATTAATATATTTTAATTTGATCGGAATGAATAATAAGTGTTTTAAAAAAATAACAATTATTGCTCTGTCAAGTTTATGTTGTGAATTCACCAAGTGCTTATGTAGCAAGAAATTACTTTTGGATAGCAATAATATTAAGTATAGATTAAACAGTCCTTCCTCCACAGAAGACTTGCTAGGGTACACAAACAATGAGACACCGGCCGGCGACCGGCGTTATATATATTCAATACAAGGTACTTATGAAAATGAGAATGAACTAGTTGATGGAGTAGTGGGTAACGTGGATAATATCTTCAGGCCTTTCCGGGGGATGGACGACACCCATCTTCTTCAGATGCAAATACTCTCCGAAACGAAACTTGCGGTACTTAGGCAACTCCCCAACTTCCTCGGTGAACTGCGGCAATGGCTCCACCAATTTCTCGACCGACACGCTGTGGAAGTAAGTGTAGGAGTAGCGGCTCTTCCCCTTTGGCCGAACCACCCTGTGCGTCGCGCTCTTGAACTTGTTGTTGCTTAGCACCTTCAACCACATTGCAGTACACAATGAGAAAATAATACGAACTTTAATAGGTTATTCCAAAATCAATGTTTCTAACAGTCTAGTCTAGTCTAGTGCGTACCTGGATAAGGTCTCCGACGTTGACGACGATAGCGCCCGGTTCAGGAGTGACCGGAATCCACTCTCCGTTCCTCCAGACCTCCAACCCTCCGACGTCGTCTTGGAAGAGCAAGGTGAAGGCGTTGGAGTCTTCGTGGGCGGTGAGGCCGTTGGTCACGCCGTCAATTTCAGGGAAATAACGGTGAGCGAGCATGAAATCCCAGCTGCTGTCGGAGTCCAACTCTTGTTTGAGTAACCCGCAGGGAAGACCCAAGGAGTCGTTGATTATACCCTCGATCAACGATCCCGTCTCGATTAAGCTCGTGAACACCTCTTCCGCCACTTCCCTGTACAAATATACATAGAAACGCATTCAAAACTCCAGGTGGATGTTTTGGAGAAGAAAAAAAAAACACCTGACAAGTGGCAATCCAATTCATTTAATAAATCGTTGCATTGTAATAAGTCACTATATATAAATACATGTATTGATACAATGGATACATTTTAGTAATATAATATAGTTTAGTTGTTGAGATTCTACTTTATGTGTTGATTTGTATAAAATTATTTTATGGGGACATCTCACATTTACCCTCAAATTTTAGTATAAGACAAAAACTATTAAGGATATAAATGAAAAGAAAAAGTGGAGACAAATCTAAAACCAACAATCTCAATTGTATAATGCATCATATTTTGTGGTTGTTGGTGGGGTCTACCTAAACACTGCATGCATTGTTTTACACTTTGGCACATCCAAATATTGTATTGTGCACAATACATGTATTTATGAGATTAAGGGGTCGTTAGGAAGTTGTTTATGTTAAATCGTTGTATTGTGAAGAATCATTGCAATATATAATACATGTATTGATGCAATCGTTGCATTTAACATTACATTGTTTGGTTGTTGAGTTTATAGGTTAGTGATTAACTTACATAAAGTAACTTTTTGTGGAAATATCACATTTACTCTTTTTTGTTGGCTGCTGTGGAAAAATCGGAATAGTTTTTGCTTCCAAGGTAAGTTGGACTCCTGGGCACACATTCAGGCTAGCTCGGTGCATCTTCGGCTTCAAATTATTACAACCACGGAGAAAGAGCGAGAGGTGATCGGAGCTGGGGGGGACTCCGAGCGTCTACTATAATTCAGTGGCAGCCACCGCCGCAAGGGTGGTCATGCCTCAACACTGATGGATCAGTGACACTCTCACCATCGAGCACGGCGGCTGGGGGCGTCGTCCGGAGGGAAGATGGTCGTCTCATCACTACCCCGGGGGGGGGGGGGGGGGGGGGTTCCATTACGAGCGCCGAGCTGGCAGGGATTGTGCACGAGCTACAGCTTACTTGGGAATCAGGAATTAGGAAGGTTATTCTACAGACAGACTCGTCCACGACTCTGTCACTCATAGAGACAGCGACTCCACACCATTCACACTACACCTATGTGGCTGAGATAAGATGTTGGCTAAGTCGAGATTGGCAGGTTCAACTCCGTCATGTTTTTAGAGAGGTGGATGTGGTTGCTGACCACCTAGCTAACTCAGGTCATGCGTTGCCGATTGGTTTCCATCGAGTTACAGCACCAAATAGTACTTAAGCGTACTGGTTGTACCATGACAGTATAGGGGTACAGACACCTCGTTCTACTCCCGTATAAAGGTTGGGACGCCCTTTAAGCGTTCAGTTTTATTACAACAAAAAAATTTAGAGGTGGCAATTCTCAATCCAATCCACTAATCCATTAAAAATATCCACCTAATCCAATCCATTTAAATCCAATCCATTTGATCCAAATCCAATTGGATTGGTCGATTCATGGATCAATCCATGGATCCAAATGACAAATTACGATTTGGTACCTATATTTGTATATTTTACATTTTGGTATCAAAATTTAATTTTTTTACAAAAAATATCATTGGAAAATTACGTTTTGGTACCTAAAATTTTTACTTATAACATTTTAGTACCTAAACTTTTCACATTTTACATATTGATCCTTGGTTAAGGATGTCATTCATTTGGATTCATGGATAATCCACCAATCCACTTGATCCAATCTATGAATCCACCAATCCATTGGATCCAATCTATTTGATACATAAATCCATCAATCCCATCCAACAATCCATAGATCCAATCCATTTGCCACCACTATATCCAATCTATGAATTCACGAATTGATTCAATACAAAACACAAATCCACGAATTCATTGCATGAGACGGTGAGAGGTTATATGTAAAGAATAAGTCACCTGAGATGGGGAGGCTTGGCGGGGTAGGCGACGAAGAAGGGGTTGGAAGGACGTAACAGGAAAAGGTAGTCGTTCTTGTGCTTGTCGGGACAATCGAAAGGGTGGCGGTTGTAACCGGCGGGCAAAGTGGCGCCGGGCCGGCTGCCGAACGTGAGCTTCTCGTCGAGCGGGAAATCGAAGAATTGGGCCGAGACTTGGAAGGCCCGGTCCATGAGCTGCAAGGGGACGCCATGGTTCACGATCTGGAAGAATCCGTACACCGAACATGCTTCCTTCACCACCTCCATGATCGCCTTTTTCTTCTGGTTGCGGATCTCGTCCCCGACGGCGGCGCCGTCGTTCTCCGCTAAAAAAGTCGAGAGATCCACCACGGGGATCCCTGACACCGCGCCGCTGCCAGAGATTCCTGCCATCTCTCTCTCTCTCTCTCTCTGGATCGAAGACCTTAGTATGATACAGTAATTAGCTGGTTAATACTTAATTAGCAATAATGTAGCTAATCTGCTACAGATATAGAAACAACGACCAATAATCAAATAAAGCTTTAAAAATTGTCAACTAGCCACCGGCCACTTGCGTGAATTAAATTCAAAGGATAGAAATAGATTCATGAGTTGCACCCTTCATTCATAAAATTCAGATCTAAAAGTGAAGAATTAAAACGTTTTTTATCATTTATTTTTCTTAATCGGCTTATATCTTTATCGTTTTAACTCGGATTTCAAAAAAAAAAAAATTTGCACAGATCAAACGAGTTTGTTGTGCGCTACAAAATGAGATCCATTTTCAATATTTTATGAGAAAAAAAATATTTCTTGCCTTTCGTTACCAATTGCATGCCATATGGTATCTTCATTATGAAGTCGTTTTTAAAAATTTTGCACAAAATGAATGATTTGATCATTATGATCTATTGGATGTACAAATTTTTGGGTGAACAAAATACAGGACCAAAAAGTACCACACAATACCACCCTGGTACGAGGTGGTATCTTGTGGTACAAAATGTTGAAAGTCGTAAATGACAGTTAGTATACTCCTACTATCAGGTATTCAACCATCTTACAATCTTGATATGTTTATACAATCATAGTACGCTTTTCATACCATATTATATGCTCTTATTTTAATATCAATCAGTACCATATGGTATAGACTGGTAAAAACTTGCTTAATTTTTTTTGTTCCAAAAATATATCAAAGTGGATATCATTTTGAAGAGCACAATTAATCTGATCTAACTGTGCAAAAAAATTAAAATTCTGACTTAGAACTAGTGAGAAATCATCCATTAAAGATTAAAGAAGAAAAATTAAAGGCTTTTCAGAAGAGAGAAAGGACGATGATGTTAGTGGCTCATCTAGGGGGTGGCCACCCTGGGCCGTCCCTCCTCTGGATCCAAAGCTAGTATAGTCCATATAAATTTTTCGATTTTGGATATTAGGCCTATTGTTATTTTATAATAAGATTGTGTATAATTTGGAAATGGTTCAAATGAACATATTCAAACTAAAACTCTAAATTCAGTTTAGAATTTCTAGACTCAATGATTTTCTTCTAAAGAAAAACAATGAAACCTGAAATTCTTATAGTCTAAAACTTAGAAGACAAATTGAAATATGAGGTTTGTTCCCTTTGAAAATTACTGGAGCAGCTGGTGAAAATAGGAGTGGACAGAATAAAAATTAATTAGTCAATTGATTTGTCTAATGTTGACGTTGCTCGTTTCAGCGGCTACTACGGAGATAACTTTTTCAACAATATAACATGTGAAACTGGTTTGCGCAACAGGATAAGCGATGAATTTCTCGGTGATAGCCTCTGGATGGTGTGCAACTACGGCAAGAAAGGCATATATATAGTAGTTAGTCGATAAACGAGGTAAGATGATCATATATCGGGTAGTAAACTAGGTGAGCTTGACTCCTTGTGTAATAAAGGTCAAGATGCTTAGGAGGAACTCGTAAATGATCACTACGTCGAAGTGGAGTAGTAGACGGACCCTCGATAGAAGGCTGAGATAACTGCTGGGAGCCCGAGTTACTAAATGATGGGCTGGAAAGTAGGCCCAAGCCAAAGTGAACGAAGGCCTAGCGAGGACGGGTCGATGGACGGTTTTTGAGGTCGGATTTATCCCAAACGAACTAGGTGTGACATGAGCTGCATCGACAAGGACCAATTAATCTTCCAAGTCATTAGTGGGCCAATGCAAAGTGACTCCGGGTACATAATGAAATAGGCAAGTATTGTCAAACTGAAAGAGGAAAACTGATTCATGAGACATCACACTTGGTAATAATGTGTTGAGTAGCAACATTATATGTGCGATATCCTTTTTGGCCTGACGCATATCGTAACAAAAGGCTAAATTACATGTTTGATCAATATCCTTTTTGGTTGGACGCATATCCTAACAAAAGGCTAAATTACATGTTTGATCACTCAAATTATATAAATCTTTCACGTTTGCCACCCGAATTACTTTTCTTTCTTATACGCCACTAACTTTACGAATCGTTGCATCGTTAGTCACTGGCCACACTCCGTTAAATTTGTCCTACGTGGCAGTCAACTATAAAGTTTGACTGTTAACTAGATGACGTGGAAGGTTGAAAAAGGCACTAGGCGTAAGGCGGGCGTTGAGCCTTTGCCTTGCGCCTAGCTCGCCTAGGCGTTGACTAAGCGTGCCTAGGCTTTGGAAGAAAATAGTTATTCGCAGTGCATGATGAATGAAATAATAATCTACAACACTTCCTCACTTCAGTAAAAATGATTAATAACTTACTAAACACTTAATGACAGGAATATAGCTTACGAGTTCATAGAATCATAGCTCAATAGTTCACAAAGTTTTTGAGCTATTGAAAATATTGCAATAGATAATTGATTTCATAGTTGATGTTAATTTTGGTATTTAATATTGACTTCTTAGCTCTATCTAGTAATGTTTAGGAGAGACTTATATGTCGCCGTACTCCATTAACGTGTTCTGGTATCTAATTAGGCGTGAAATTCCTAGGCGAGGCGTTTTGCCATTGCCTTGCGCCTAGGCGTGCCTAAGCGTAAGATTAAGCGTGCCTTTTTTAACCACGGTGGAAATTAAAAAAAATTAAAAAAATTCCACCTCATCTTTCCACTTACTTTATTTATATGATTGATCGTATTAATTATTTAATAAAAATAATTTTGAGCGACATTGAGGAGGAGGAATCTCTCCAGCTACGACAAGTGCCTCTCCCACGACCAAGCCCGCAAGGTCGCGGTTGGGGCTCAACAACCTGTTCTGGAACTGGGATTTGCCCCGCACCCGCGAAGGGTTCTAGCGATTCAAAGGTTCGGTGATGGCTGCAGTGGTCCGAGGCAGAGCATTCGCTTCCCTTACGGATGTGATCCTGATGGAGACATCGAGCCCCGATTTGGTGGAGTGCACGGATATCACTCAGGGGGTGAAGTCTAGTTGCCTGGAGACGATGCTGACGTACAAATAAAATCTGTCGTGGGACTTCATCCCCCGAACACTCCTCCGATTCGTCTGTCGTGGCTTTCGTCAACGGTTTGTAGATGAAGCCGGAAGCATCTCCCTTTTCGAGACTGAAGATCTTGCGATTGCGGGTACAGTCCCCGCAAGAAATTTGGATATATTGGTTGTGAATTTAACGTTTCTTATCCATAGTGATATTAGTGGAGTCATTCTTTGGTTGATAAGTGTTAATTGAAAAGTTTTAAGAATGTGATATGGTATTAATTAATTTTGTTGATGGTTGGTTGCTCTAGCAGCCTGCAAGTTTGGTTTTGAGTCTTTTGACAGATGAGCTTTTAATTGCAAGCCAAAATATCTTCACTGGTTCAAACGACCAAAAATAATTAATAATTTTATATACCACAACCTTGTCTTCTCATTCTTCTTCCATTCTCCATCTTTTCTTCACTATTTGGTGCCCTACTCTAATGGCTTCCACTAACATTCCATCGTCCCTCTCATTATGAAGCCTTGATCAGTCCAACTGCTTCTGCAGCAGCCTCACTGCTGCAATTCAACCCTCCGGTGCCAACCCACCATTACTACCATGTCGATCGTCTTCCCACTGATCAGGTTCACACACAAGAGGTGAAACAACCCAACCCACCACCAGAAACCATGATCAGACCCATCATCAACTACAGCAACAACAATGGCGCCGCCGAACCAGACTCGCAACGCATAGGGCTCCCTGTACCTCTCGACGAGACATGTTCTGGTTTGCCAATATTCTCGATCACAGTGGCAGCCGAATGATCCTCCTCCTCCCTCAAAATTATTTTCTTTGCTAATAAAGTTATCTTTTTAATTTAATTAATTTTTATTAAATAATTAATTGGATCAATCATATAAATAAAGTAAGTGGAAAGATGAGGTGGAAATGTTTTTTAATTTTTTTTAATTTCCGCGTCATCTAGTTAACAGTCAAACTTTATAGTTGACTGCCACGTAGGACAAATTTAACGGAGTGTAACGGCCGGTGACTAACGGTGCAACGATTCGTAAAGTTAGTGGCGTATAAGAAAGAAAAGTAATTTGGGTGGCAAACGTGAAAGATTTATATAATTTGAGTGACCAAACATGTAATTTAACCCCTAAGAAAACACCTGCATATTTATGATCATCAAACTTTCTAAGAGAAGCATGGGTGTCCTTGAGAAGCTATAATGAAAACAAAACAACAATTTATGTGTTATCCCCGATTTACGGGACTAGTCCATGAAAAACTCAACTCTCCAGCCGATTTTTTATTGTTGATCACTTAGTTATGGCCGAAGGCTTACACTTGTTTTTATTCCCTTACAAAAATTATAATCTAGGGTAAAGTAATTAGGGCATGTGAATAAGACATACACATAAGCAGTAGCACCGAGTCGGCCACGCTTGGCCCAACTCCCAAGTGGGCCGATGGACTTGGTCCAATAAAGGGGCCAGCAAAAGATTGTCATCTGTTTCAAAAACAAAATCCCCTTAGGGCTCAAGATGCGGTGCATAATCATTGGTTATGCACTAATCAATAATGAAATCTGGATTATTTATTTAGAAAATTCAGATCTAAATATGGAGAATTAAAGACATTTTTATTTTCCATTGTTTTCTTAATCGGATCATATCTTCTTCGTTTTAACTCGAATTTCAAATTTGTTTGCACAGATGGAACGAGTTCGTTGTGCTCAACAAAATGAAATTCATTTTAAATATTTTTTGAGATTTTTTTTTTTTTTTGCTTCTTGTTACCAACTGTATACCATATGGTCTCTTCTTCATTTTTAATTCGTTTTTTACAATTTTTGCACAGAATGAACGAGCTCATCATGATCTATTGGGTCTAAAAATTTTTGGTTGAACAAAATACAAGACCAAAAAATACCACACAATACCACCCTGGTACGGGGTGGTATCTTGTGGTACACAACGTGAAAAGTCGTAAATGACAGTTACTATACTTCTACTATCATGTATTCAACCATCCTACAGTCTTGGTTTGTTCATACCACTACGGTACGCTTTCATATCATAAGTATGCTCTTATTTCAATACCATATGGTATAGACTGGT